ATATATATATATATATATATATATATATATATATATATATATATGTATGTATGTACGTATATATACATATGTGCATGTATAACAATTAGTGGGGAAAAAAAGAGGCCATGAATTTGAAGAAGAGTAGGAAGAGGTTGATGGGAGGATTTGGAGAGAGAAAAGGGAAGAGAGAAATGTTATAACTATATTATAGTCTCAAAGACAAAGTTAAAAATAATAATAGCCGAACAAATGCAAGGGTCCCTTTTTAAACATACCCCATAAGAGCCTTTAAATACTATGTCTGAAAAATAGTAGCACTTTCACCTCCATTTTTACCCACAGCAATAAACTTCTCACCACTGTATGTAAAGAATCTGCTGGTCTTACAGGAAATAGAGTTAAGTGGCTACATGTTAAACTTTGGGCAATAAAACGGAAAATTGTTACATTAGTGCAAAAATAACTTTTTAAAATAATTTTTATTTTTTTAATATTAATTACAGTTTATTTACTTTGTATCCCAGCTATAGTCCCCTCCCTCATTCCCTCCCACAAAAATAACTCTTAATGGAATGTCAAATAAAGGAATTTCACAGGTTTGATGGTGGCAAAGACCAAATTAAACATTAGGAAGAGTAACTCAGTAGCCAAGAGCACTGGCTGCTCTTCCAGAGGACACAGGTACTGTTCCCAGCACCCGCATGGCAGCTCACAACCATTGTAATCCAGTTTCAGGGGATCTGACGCCCTCTTCTGGCCCTTGTGGGAACCAGGCATGCACATAGTGCACATTCCTCCCCAGTAGGAGTTGTATAGTTTTCCTATTACTAAAATTACTTCCCCCATCACACATGCCCATCGGCGCTCCTTGAAAACATAGACCACATTGATGTAGCATTGCCCAGCTGGTCATTCTTCCGTTGGAAGCCACTAGGGATGCTTTCTGCTTTGAATTTATTATTTATGGATAAATACATAATTCTACGCTTAATGTTTCATTCTCATACAAATATTTAGCAGTTAAGTAAAGATAATCAAAATCAGCACATCAGGACCATTTTAAAGGATTTCTCAGTGTAATGATCAGTGTCTGTTACAGTGTAACTAGACAAAAAAGGTGGCACTTTACAAAAGTGAGCCATAAAAAACAAATGAGTTTCCCCCTTTTCACTTGCTAATTTTCCTGTGTCATGCAATTTGTTTTTCTCAGTCTACACCCTGTCTTTTACCTTTCTCCTTTTCAACAGCACTTCACTGATGCACATACGATGAAACACTTGTAACGAAGGGGACCCAAGTAGTTTGTGCTCTTTGGTTTCCAAAGCTTAAAGCTTAAGTTATAAACTATTCTGAGTTCTTCAGATGGAATGAATGCTCGAAAACTGGAGGCAGAAGAAACGTGTAGGCAATGAGGCTGTGGCCTGGCTTTGGGTATCTTGTCTGTGGGGACAGTAAAAGAGTGCTGACAGTGACTCTGTCCTTCCTGGTGCACCACTAGGAGGTGTACCTTGGAGATAGCAATATTTTGCAAGCTCAGCGTTGCCTCAGACCTTCCCCGTTAGTTTGCTACAAAGAAAGTCTCTCTTAATACATATCAAAAAGTCTTTCCTCTCACTAGAGGAAATAAAGTACCAAAATATATAAACATCTGTAATCTCTATCTGTCATCTATCTATCTATCTATCTATCTATCTATCTATCTATCTATCTATCTATCTATGATCTATTTTTATCAATAAATAAGGTTACCTCATGTTTCTTTTGATGAGAAACACCAGTTACAACACAGACATGAGAGGAGAGTGAGGTAGAGCTGGACTAAGAAGGGAAAACAGAGCAGAACAGGGGAGCCAGAGACAGGAGGGGCAGGGCCGGGACCCACAGCTCATTACTTTAGAATGAAAAGTGCCTTTCTTTTTGGGCACTTTGTTTTGGGACCGCTCCACGAAGCAAGTAAGGCAGAACCTCAGGGACAAACAGAGCCTTTAAAGGATGAGATGAGGTGACCTGTCATCACAGAGATGGCAACTCATAGGACCATGTATTTGTCTCTTAAGTTCTATTACTTGTCACTTGCCTGATTCTTCATCATTTTTTACTTTTTTCATTACGGCACAAATATCAATCGCAAAGCTCGTTTTCCTAAGTTCAACAGCATACTGTACCTTACATTACAATGTTCAGCTGTTTAATATTCAAGGACGATAGCACAATTTTAATAATTTTTACCCCGTTTAGCAATGCACAGAAAGTCACATTACATTGACTACATGGATAAAAACTGCTACCAAACCATTGTTTTATGTATGATGTCTTTGCTAACTGTACTTTAATAATCTGCAAAGCTGCTTTAATGATCTTTTAAAGTTATAGTCTCATGTACTGTGTCAGTTCAAATGGAAAACATGTCCTGTTTCTCTTTTTGTCAACACTTAAAAAGTAGTCTTTGGCCTTTGCTCAAAATAACTTTCCACGCAAATGATCTCAATTATGATGGTATCGTTACAATTCATGTCCACTGTCGAAAGTGGAATTTTCAGAAACTTCAGAACTAAAGAAGGCAAGCTGTCGCTTGAGCTGCATTTTCTCTCCCGGATTCTCACATAATCTGACCTCGATGTTGGCATCGCTGAATGCATCTCCTTTGGTTTCTTCTACTGGACGCTGTTGTCGGGATAACTTTGCTCTCTTTTGCATCATTGAAATTCCAGAATTCCCATGCTTCCGTGCTGGAGGGAAGGTTTCTTTCACTATGCAATAGCAAACTGCAGACAAGAAATTCTTTTTGAAGTTTTCATTCATAAACGCGTACACAATGGGGTTACAGATGGAGTTGAAAAACCCAATGATTTGTACTACAGCGAAAACCATCTTGATTGTGACATCATCATATTCTTTTTCAAAATTACCTGAAATAGAATAATACTTCAGAATGCTGATTGACTTTCTCAAGAAAATTCAAAAGCACTTATCATCTGACATTGTCAGAGGCGAAAGGTATGTAAATTTCTGAAGACCACTTGGGGAGAGGAATCTGATTATCTGGAAACAAATGACCTTTGTGATGAGCATTCTTTACCTACACAGGCTGCTCTCCGGCACACATTACCAGGCAATTCAACCAAAACATTCAAGTGTCGTGTAAGCTAGAAGAAGGAGTTCAAATAGTCACTTGCACTGCAGAAAACATCGTCACACTGAAAACCATTCAAAGTCCTAACTTACCAGGGAGACTGTCCCGGGTGCTGACTGACAAAGGCCACATTGAGGTTGTAAAGAGATGATTTGTAAAATGCCATATGGCTCCCCTTAGGGGTCATGTGAGAATCCGGAAGCTTTTCTTTATTGTGTACAACTACTAAAGTACGCTGGCTAGGGTGTCCTCGTCATACAGAATCACCCTCCACACAGTGAGCTGGTGCTCTTTTAGCAGGAAGGAGCCAGACTCGAGGCTTGATATTTAATTAAGCCTGGGAATAGCAACAGGTTTACTGTCATTCCTGTCTATTCTAGCAGGAAGTGGGTCAGAGTCGTCAAAACGAGAATGCCAGGTACTCACTGTATTCAACCATCATGTGAACAACATGGAAAGGTGCCCAGCATGCCGCGAAGAGAGCCACTACTGTCACCATCATCACGACAGCCCTCTTCTTCTTCCTAGACCCGCAAAAGAGTAGCGTGTTGGTTCACTCGCCCGTGGAAAATGTGTTAAACGGCAAGACTGGCATCGAAGTTGGCCTTCGTCCACCCCAGCATAACTGCAGGCAGCTTATCGCCTTTTCCTGTTTGTTTTACTCCTGCCTTCATGGTCTTCATGTAATACATATGTTTGTGATGTGTGCTTATTGTGGGGTTGGTATTTTACGAGGTTACTGGCATGTATTATATCATTAATATTCAAGCAAATCAACGGGCCAGCGCAGAAATGGGGACACAGAGAAGGTTCCGTGATTGGCAGTCAGATGGCTAGTAACAGACGTACTTTGGGTTTGGATTTAGGCCTCTAAGTTCAGTGAGTAAGCTCTGTGATAGCAAAATGTCAATATTTATAAAATACAGTGAGCTTCAAGGACAAATACGGAACTCTGGCTTACCAGTAATTCAGGCTCATTTCTTTATTCTTCTTATGAGGTAGACTTATATCTGCAGTAGAACTAAATAATTACTTTCTATTTTAAAAGTTCAGACTTGGCACCTCTCCTTTCAACTCACTACCTCCCCCTCACCCCTCCAGCCCCCACCTCCCGAAGAAAGGGAGCAACCAATTCAATAAAAATTCCCAAGGTGATGAAGTTTTGGGACTGCCCTATAGTCAGAAGGGCCCGTCTGTACACAAACTGGTCACTAGAGGGCACTGCACACCCGAGACGCAACCAAATCCATCAGATCTCTGGAAGCCTGCACAGAAGGCCTCACTCGGTTTCATCTGAATGGTCAGTACGGACTAGGAAGTAAGTCTACTGTACTGTATATGCAGCATCATAGTGTTAAAAAATAATACTAATGAATAAGGCCAGAAAGATAGCTGTTACTTTAAAATCAAATTTCAACAACAATCATTCAACATAAGTAATACGCTCTGGTTTAAAAAATTTTTTCTAGGTATATGTTGGCACCATCTTTGAGTAGCAGGAAGTAGGGATGGATGTCACTGTGTAACTCTGTATATTTGAAAAAAAAAACAGGGGAGAGAGAAAATGCGGATCTGTGTCACCTGGCCAGCGAAGTGACACAGAGAAGGGAACACAGCTATGACACCGGCTCATAGCCCTTCCTGCAAATTATATTTACATATAGATGAAAATGCCACCATGCTCTTAATTCTCTTCCTAGCTCCAACTTCGCTTTTGATTTAAGAGCTAATGATTTTGATCTATCTTTTTGCAATACACTAAACTGCACAGAGCTTCAAGGATTTAAATACTCAACTTAGATTATTGTGACTAAATTATCCAAGAGTTCTGGCATCCTTGGCAACAGTCCCTCCTAGTACAACGATTAAAACATTTTAAACAAAGACGAACATTTATTCAGACAGACCTGGCTATTTTGGACATTTCTTTCCCATGAATAGTTTGGAGCGCTGAGCTGTCTCCCACTCTTTTCTTGATCCACAGTTCATAGCCAATCTTACTGTAGAGGGCAAGCATCACCACGAGAGGCAGGAGGAAGAGGATGACGAGAATGAAGGTGGTGTAGATTTTCTGGTGCACGGGGCTGGCCCATTCTTCCAAGCAGCAGACATGTTCTTTTTCATATAGGAAGTCATACTTAATCTTTATAGCAAGAAGAATTCAGTTATAAGAACCAGCAGTCAACACGAGAAGCACTCAGCTGTCATTGCAGTAAATCATTTTAGAGACTTTTCACATTTGTCGCTGATATTATTTCAAGTGTGAATCACTGCTTTATTGTTATTTTGTAGTAAAATGCAGTTTTTCTGCTTACCTGCTTAGGTCTTTCGAGAACTTTGTGCTTTTAGATTTGAAATGGAATTGAGGTCTGTATATGCTTCTTTCATTTCTTAACTTTTATTTATTTATTTATTTATTTATTTATTTATTTATTTATTTATTTTTGCTTCTCAGAACTTTTCAGTGAGTTAAAAGAACACGCTTCCCACACTGTATATTGAAAATAACATATGCTATCTGCTGTTTGCTTCTGCTTTAATATTAACTGAACCAACATATTTTGCTTTCTCACTTGTTGAAGAAACAGACTTGGAGAGTCACCAGACTTCCGTAAAGTAAAAGATGCTAAAAGAGGCAACTGATAGCTTTTAAATTCTAAGGCAAATGGGAAATGAGGTCCAAACCACTGCCATCCTGAAATAATCCAAATGACCTTTGTTCGCTGATTTATTCAAACTATTTCTGGCAGACTCGTTTTTAAGTTCAAACTTTATTAACAACAACAGGAATTGATGTGGCTCATTTCTAGATCAAACCAAACCCTTTAAAACATATTCAAAAGCCACATCTTTAGGTAACAAAAATGAAAATGTGAGCATTTATCAGGAATGTTGTCCTCTAGACACTTTGGATCTTTTCAGGTGAATACTTAGGTTTTGAATATAGCTTCACTTTTGTTTATGTGCTTATGTGCAATTTCATCACAATCTTCAGTAGCAATTGAAAGGGCAAGAAAATCCAAGTTCTGGTCTAGGTGTTACAGACAGATATAATCGGGATATGAACCACTGGGAAAGCAATTTCAAGATCTGAACTTCCCATGACTAGAGGTAAAACCACAACCTATTCCGACTCCCTATAAGCTGCCCCTACAATGACCATAGAGATCACGAAATAACAAAGCCCCATGCTAGTCTCTGATGGGTTCACATAGCTCCGGGGACAAGCAAATCTCTAGGTATGCTCTAACCCAGGTGTTCTCTCCCTGACTTCTCATGTGTGCTACATTCCTGGCAACACAGTCTCTACTTCTAAACATACATTTCTCTAAAATTTTACCGTTTAAGACAGAACTGAGAGCTGAGAAGATATTCAGGGTCTATGGTTCACTTCTACTTTCACCACCCTCCTCATCCTTACAAACGAGTCACATTTTTCTCCCAAACACAAATGTCACCGTGGGCACCAAGGAAAGAGACCATTTATTACTGACACTAGTGATACCAGTGTCAACAACCCATGAAAAAGCCTTTTGCTTTCCTCAGTGTTAGATGTTAGATATATTGTACTCAGTGTGAAGCCTGAGAGTCGGGGAAAATGGTATGCTGACAAGTGCCCAGAGGGGACCTAAGTGGTGACATTGTTCATTTAATCATTTCTTTGCATTCCCTGAGAGATGAGAACAAGCCATGCCTGAGAGAACACAGCATCAAGAGCCTCATGTTCCATCATCTTCCTGGGAGACTCGGGTTCCTACGTGCTTGCACACGTACTAATAGCATTTAGGGATGAGGCGACCACGGGATGCACGTTAATACAGGAAGCAAATGTGATTGGCTGATCTGATAGTGAGCGAAGTTCTGTCAATAAGATTGTACATTACATTTTCTACCAAGCAAATTAGTCATGTATTCAAGGTGTATTTAAAGTCTGCTCTGGAGAAAAGTTGTTTTTTTTTTTTTTAATTGCCACATCTACGTGTTTTCTGTGGTGCAGGAATGATCTTACGTTGGGAGTGTGTCATTTGTGAAAGAGTCCACCACTCTACATTGTGCTGGTGGCGAAGGTGGTCATGGTGGAAAAGAGCTGGTCGTGCCGGAGGTGCGTAGAAGGGCTCAGGAGTGGGCAGGCAGCCAGAGGTGTTGGGTGTCTTGGGAAAATGAGGTGAAAAGCATCAGGTATGAGTCACAGTCAGACCCAGAGACACTGTTTTAGACCACCTCTGTTCCTGCCTCTCCCCTTTCTCCTCATCAGCTTGTGGGAGGGAGAGGCTCAGCTGCACACAGAGGAACAGAGACACCCAGCAGGCAGTCACAGCCCTTCACATTTCTAGGCCCAATGTCAATTCAAGCGGAGGGAAAGGCCGGGTTTTAAATCGATTATATAAACTTAAGCGACTAAGACAGTGGACTGGAAGTTTCATAACAGATGTAGCACTGTTTCTGTGTGGAAAGTGAGCAGAGAATGTTAATTAACTGAATTCTGGCAGAGCTGGTGCCGCGGCTTGGGACATCCTCAGATAGCTTTTCATAAGTGCTACCACATAAAGCTGCTCTCTGCTCTCACACGGTTCAGCTCACTCAATACTCAAATCATAGAACAAATATCAGATTGTTTCTAAAACCTACTCTTATCTTATGTTTCACTTGATATCCTTGCTGATGGATGTGGCAAGCTTAGTAAAATTCCATATTTGCCTTTCTGTTTAAAAAAAAAGTAGAAAAAAATTTTGTCAGGGGCTATGTGAGCTATGCTCTGTTGCTTTTGAAGACTGCTGTCTGTGTTAGACTGCAAAAGATGTTAAAGTTCACACCCATAGAACAGGTTGGGTCAAGCCAACACCTACCCTCCTTTACCATGAATCCCCACACATGGCCGAACCCATCTGAGGCGGGAAAAGGAGAGGGATTAGATAAGATGCTCTCTGAATGTGTTTTCTACTCATTTTTTTTCAATTTATCTATGAAGATGATGCAGGCAAGAAAGGCTTTATGGAAGAGAATCAATTAATCTATTACATTTTTTTTGCATGAGTTAACAATGAAAGAAAATATAGAGGAGAAAGGAGAAAGAGAATAGAGAGTAATGGACAGGCAGGAGGGTCAGATGGGAAGGGGAGGGGGGTGAGAAAGGGAATCTGGAGAGGGACAGCTAAAATTAAAGGCTACTTGAGGGTGTGTGTGGAAACTTAATACAGTAGAAGCTTTTAAAATCATACACACATATGAAATCACCAAATAATAGGGAGACAGCTGCAGCTGGATATCTCTCACCACTAAATGAAGCTTCCAGTACCTGGAATAGGTTGTATCTAATCACATTGTTAGCCAAAGGGGTCCCGGGGAACCCCCAATAATGCTGGCTGACACAATGGCTATAGGTTTCTCTCCACAAATTGAGAGCCAGGCTGTACTGCTGAAAATAACACACACACAATTCATTGAACACAAAGAAGTCCAGCTGGTGCCTGCCTAGAACCTTCACCACTTTTGTCTAGTGTTCTTGGTACCAGAAGGTACTCTGCATGCTACCAAAAGAGCAATGGAAACTCCAACCCAGCTACAAACTCTTTGATCTACACTAGTGCAACGGTGGTGCAAATCTTGTGAGAATAAGCGAAGAATATCTGCTTTGCTTCAAGGCCTGCTCCACGAGATGGAATCCATATTCAGTGCTATCTGGGTGACCAAGAACCTGAGACTAGATAGCACGGGGACTTAGGGGAAAGCCAAACGCTTTTGTTCTACAAAAGGAACTTAGCAATAAAATGTCTCTTAAGGACAGGCTGCTGTACTCATAGATCAGTGCCTTGTTGAGTCATCATCATAGAAGCTTCTTCCCGCAAGAGATGGGAACAAACACAAAACCCCACAACCAGATAATATCCAGAGACCTCAGAACACTTAGCCCTAAACAGCACGCCTCCATCAAACCCCTCCCCTCAGGACTCAGAGAACCCTGTGGATGAGGAGACAGAAAGAGTGTAAGAGCCAGAGGGGATGGAGGACACCAGGAAAGGAAGGCCTTCTAAACGCAGCCCAGGAAAGGAAGGCCTTCTAAACGCAGCCCAGGAAAGGAAGGCCTTCTAAACGCAGCAGGACTGACACACCTATGAACTCACAGAGACTAAGGCCACTTGCACAGGGCTTGCATGAACCTGCACCAGATGGGGTCCTAGAGCTGAAAGGAGATGTGAAAACACATCCCATCTACAACCCAGAAGCCAGCTCCAACTGACACCCACTTTTAAGTGAAAAATTAGTTTTTTTCCAAGGGAGTCTCCCTGGAGAAACCAATGACTCTTAAGGGTAGGTTGCAACCCAGCACTAGCTGGTCAACAGAAAACTAATTCAGCTGCATATTTGGAGGTTTCTTGTCTCATAATATCCTGTCAGGGCATTTGTCTGTTTGTTTGTTTATACTTTACAGGTTTTGCTTATATATTATGGCTTCTGGTTTTGTGTTTTTGTGAGATTTCTGACAGTGCGAACAAGTGGGTCTTTCCGTTTATATCTGTTTCCTGTACCTTTTCTTGGACTCTTTTCTTTCTGTTGGTTTTGTCCTATTTCAATTTGTTTGTTTTTGTTCTGTCTTATTATGATTTATTACTATTATTCCTTAGATGCCTATTTGTTTTCTAATGAGAGACTAAAAGGGTGTGGATCTGGATAGGAGAAGGAGTGGGGAGGAGTTGGGAGGGGTAGAGGAAAGAAAGCTGTAATCAGAATATATTGTACAAAAAAACTATTTTCAATAAAATAAAAAAATGTAGAGCAATCATTGTATTTTCAACTATATCAAGATGTTGGAGCATTCTAGGAAAAGCATGTCCAATTTGTAGGAAAATGGAGAAAGTGACTTGGAATGTTTTTTAAAAATGTTAAGCACCAATGTTAGCAATACAATATCTAGAAGAATTAAATAAAACAAAGGAAACTATTTTATTTCATTTGAAAGTTTTCCAGTGGAGGAACTGAGGTAATCCAGACTTGCTGAAATGTTCTTGCAATGGATAATAGTTACACATGAAAGATGTGGAGAAGGGTTTCAGCACCATAAGAAGCAATTCAACCCTGAATACCTCAAGTCGCTGCACGTGCCACATGGGTGAGCCGACGATGATGGCCACCAACCAGACCACACCTGTAAAAATGTGATAGTCATCAGAACGCAGTCAAGTGGAGCCCCGTGCTTAACCAGATAGGCGATCCTTATAATACAACACCAGCTAAATTTTTATAACAGAAATGCTGCTTGCTTATTTATTTCACGTGATGGTATTAAGTTTGCTACCTTTGAAGATTCTATCAGCTGTACACTCTACGTCTGACTATTATAAATTCAGACATAATGAAGACCATTAAGGACTGAGTGCTGATCACTAAGAAGGAAAATTAATCTAGTACCATGGTGGACTTTAGGACATTGCTTCAGATTCACCATTTCTTATGAGCTACGTACGTGGTATTCGTCGTGTGTTGCTATTGCTGAGCCGGGAACAGTGATGGCAAGCTAAGAGTCTAGAAGTGCTGGAAGCAAAAGGAAGAGAGCGGGATGTGTCTCTGTCAGCCGTCTGAAGGACTCTGTTGTCAGGCTCTTGCAACCACGAGCGACTGGGAGCACACGCCAGCACCGCACTCCTGCCCTCTGCTTCCCTCAAAACACATTCCCTGCTCTGTATCAGGGTCATCTTGCTCCTGCACACTCCGAGCTCTCACCTCAGCGTCAGATGAAGGTTAACGTGGAAAGGCCACTGGTAGGTATGAAAAGTTGGAGATGTGAACTTGGAGATGTGAACTGGAGAAATATATCTACAATAATATATTTAAGGATTAGGGTAGAAGTAAAGGAGAGATGGTGTCGGGTAAACACAGAGAGGACCAAATCCCTCAGGTTATACAGGAATTCTTAGACGTAAAGGACAAAGCTACGCTTCAACTGTGCAAATGTGACATTCCACAGTGAAGAGTGGCATTTACACTGCGGGTGACACACTGACAGCCGCACCGAACGTTTCAATCTGAGTATTAAATCTTCTAAGTCTCAAAGGACTTGACTCAGTCTTCGAGGGTGTTTGGGGAGGTTATTGGATCATGAAGGGACCAGCTTCATGAATGGATTAATCCACTGAGGAATGTGTAGGTGGATGGACTGCCTGGAAGCAGGGCCTGATTGGGAGGACTGGGTGGCTGGCCTATGACTTGTCCCAGACTGTTGCTGTCTGTGTACTTGTGGTTTGCTATGAGGCGGGCCACTGCTCTATTGCACGCTCACGTCATGGTTCTGATTTACTGCCCAAAGGCCCAAGAACTACCAGAGCCAAGCGGCCACGCACTGCGCTCTCTGAAGCCATATACAAGGCGAACCCTTCCACTGTTAACCTCAGCTATTTCGTCAAGGGGCAAAAAGCGGCTCACGTACCCAAGATTGTGAAAGCCCTTCGGTTGGTGTACTGCCACTTCATTTTAAAAGGATGGACAAGGCCTTGGTGCCTCTCTACAGCAATGCACGTCATAGTGAGGATTTCTGTCACGACTGCAGTGGACTGGACAAACGGCACCATCTTGCAAATGAAGGCACCTGCAGCAAGGAAACAGACCACGTCACATGAAAAACTACATCTTAAAAGCCTTAGCTGTTCCTTTGTAAATGACACAAGCCATTACCTCTGAATGGCCACTCAGAAGCTCCAGGGCTATAGCAGTTCCGTATATGCAAATGAATGAACAAAGTCAGCGTGGGTTTGTGCTTTAGCTCTTTAACTAGAGTTTTACACTCTTAAGTGCCATGGCATCGTACATAAAACAGTGGGAGACACAATCAGTAAGACGAGAAGGACGGTCTATGAGTAAGGTTGTGCACAGCCCTATTCCAACACATAAAAGCTGAGGGGGAGCATCGAGATTATTTGGGTGCAGTGTGGGCTAGGTAGCAAAACTCTGACTAAAGAACCATGAACAGAGATATCCCCGCCCTTGGTTTCTCTTTTCTCTACAGGCTTTCTGCCCTCTCATCCTTGCTCTCCCCAGTTCTGGTCTCCACCCTCTTAACTCTCTGCTCCTCCTCTCCTGCCTTGTTCCCTCTCTTCAGCCACTACCTCTGTCTGTTCTGTCTCCCTTTCCAAGTGAGATTTATGCATCTGCCCCTGTATCCTCTATGTTACTTATCTTCTTTGGCTCTGTGACTTGTAGTATGCTTATCCTGTATTATATGGCTAAAATCTACTTTTAAGAGAGTACATACCATGTGTATTTTTCTGGGTCTGGTCCACCTCACTCACGATGATCTTTTCTAGTTTCACCTATTTGCCTGCAAAGTTCATTTCTTTGTTTTTAATAGTTGAGTAGTATTCCATCATGTAACAGTTTCTTTATCCATTCTTCAGTTGAGGGACATCCAGATTAGGACTATTACCAAATAAAGCTGCTATGAACATAGTTGAGTGAGTGTTCTTGTATGGTAGATTGTTTTTTTTTTTTTTTGGGGGGGGGTGTATATACCCAAGAGAGGTATAGCTGCATCTTCAGATAAAGCTATTCCCAGTTTTCTAAGAAAGTGCCAGATTGATTTCCAAAGTGGTTGTACACATTTACACTCCTACCAGCAATGGAAAAGTGTTCCCCTTTCTCCACACCCTCGCCAGCATGTGCTGTCACTTGAGATTTTGATCTGAGCCATTCTGACCAGTGTGAGATGGAATCTCAGAGTTATTTTTATTTGCATTTCTCTGATGACTAAGGAAGCTGAGCATTTCTTTAAGTGCTTCTTTGTCATTTGAAAGAGTGCCAACCCCTTATGCTATGAACAATGCTCTGCCAAAGTTTTTTTTAAAAAAATATAATTTATTTACTTTCTATCCTGATTGTAGCCCCTTCCCTCCTCTCCTTCCAGTCCCTCCCTTCCTCTTACCCTTTACTTCCTCCCCTAGAGGAAGGGGGAGCTATCCTCTCCTACCATCTGACCCTAGCCTATGAAATCTCATCAAAACTACCTGGATCCTCTTCCTCTGTGGCCTGGCAGGGCTTTCCTACCAGGGGAAGTGATCAAAGAGCAGATAGCAGAGTCCATGTCAGAGATAGCCCCTGCTCCCCTTACTTGGAAGCCCACATGAAGACTGAGCTGCTTATCAGTTACATCTTGCAGACAGGAGCCTGACAGAGTTGTCCTCTGAGAGGTGTTACCCAGCAGAGCCTCAAAACAGATGGGAAGACTCACAGTCAAACATTGGTCAATGCCTAGGGAGTCTTGTGGGAAAGTGGCAGGAAAGAGAAAAGGACCTGGAGGTGACAGAAGCTCCATAAGAAGACCAACAGAGCCAACTAACCAGGGTCCAGAGGAGCTTGCTGAGACTGAAGCATCAACCAAGCACTATGCATGAACTGGACCTAGGCCCCCTACAAAGATGTAGCAAATGGAAACTTAGGCCTCACATAGGTCCTCTAGTAAGGGAAGTAGGGACTGCATAGGACACAGACTCACTTCCCAGCTTTTTTTTTTTTTTTAATCACTTTCCCTTGGCAGCACTGCCTTGACAGGCCACAGGGGAAGAGGATACCCTCAGCTCAGTCCTGATGTTACTTGATGAGATGGGCTGGATGAGCAAGGAAGCTCGCCTTTTCTGAGGAAAAGAGGAGGGGGATTCTTTTCTTCCTGCCTCCCATCCTCCCAGAGGAGCAGCAGGATGTTGTCACTGAATCCTGGTATACAGTGGTTCTGGGGACTCAAAGGCACTTAGGCAGCAAGTGGTCCACTCACTGAGCCCTCTCCCCAGCCTTTCTTCTTTGATTTTTTTATTCCCTTTAGAATGTCTATCCAACTTTATATGTAGATTAAACCATTAACCTTTTAAATTTCTTTTTAGTTCTATACAAGGCTGTCTTGTTTTTTTTGTGTATTTTTTTTAAATTGAAAATAAAATTTTCTTTCCATACAGTATATTCTGGTTATAGTTCTTCCTCCTGGTCCTCCCAGTTTCTCCCATTCCCTCTGGAGCCACCCATTTTCTGTCTCTCATTAGACAATGAACCAGCAACTATAAAAACACTTCTTGCTCTGCTCCTTAGGAAAAAAAATTTTTTTTTTTAATGTCTCACTTTAGGCAAACTGAGGGATGAGGTGTTCACAGGAAGCAGGACGAGGCAGGTGGAAGGAGGGTGAGGTCTGCCTTGGCCTATGCAACTCCCTCTGGCAGCCTCCCCAATACCTACTGAGGCTGAATGCCTCTCCCATCCTCAGAGACAACAGGTAGAGATTGTTGGTATATACCTGTAGTTAAACAAATGTTCCAAACCCCCTCATGGTGGGGCTTCCTCTGCTCTGCTAGCCTCCCTTGCTGACCAGCCTGTGCCCCACCTCCAGGCCTACAGCTCTGTGAAGCACCTGGACAGAGAAGCTGGATTGCCTCTAAAGGGAAACGGAGTCTACAAAGTTGTCTCTGGCATGTGTGCCCCCCCAGCTAATAACAATAAAGGTTTTTTTAAAACTGAAAAAAAGGAAAACAAACCAGCATCTAAGGGATAATAATAAAATAAAATCAGGTGAGTAAAAACAAAATAGAATGGTATATAATAAATAAAGAGAAGAGTCAAATAAACAAAGAGAAATAAAGAAAGAGAAGAGTCAAAGAAAAAGCACGCACACACATACAAGCCACATATAGACACAGAGGGACATACGTTTGCACACATGGGAATCCCTTAAAAACACAAAATCAGAAAGCATAATATACACACAAAGGACTCTTAATGTTGGGGGCAAAATCCCTGACTCAACATTATGAGACAAAGAACTTCAAAAGATGCCATTGAGTTCGTTTTGTGTTGCCCACCTACAGCTGGGCGTGCATTACAATTTTAACTTCCTTTACTTTTCTAATATAAAAGTCTCAAAGTGACAGACATTTTAAAAAGCCTCATTTTATTTATAACTGAAGAAACTGAGAACTGACTGCCAGTCATTACACCACTCCTTGACCCTAGGACAATGTGGAGATTGGTCTGGAACCCCAGTTAGAGACCCCTTCTACCACCCATCCATCAGTCACCCCACCCATTCTTGGAGTCTCCCATCCCTTCGCTACAGACCACTTGGAGTCCAACTGGAAAACCCCAGAGCCATTTGTCTGCCTGCTCATCAGTCACTCATCCCTCCATACCAACCCGGAACTGTGTAAATTTCGGACCAGGATTCCAGGTTGGAACCTCCAGAGCCAGACCTTCTGCCTCGAAAGAGCCACCACACCCCGTTACTCAGCTCTGGAATTGAGTGGATCCAACTCGGAACCCCAGTTAGGGACCCACAGAGCTTTCCTCTTCTCTATGAGCACCTCACACACTGTTTGGTTGTAGGACCAAGGAAAGTCTGACTTGGAAACCCAGCGTGAACCCAAGACCGAAAACCAATCATCATCCAGCTGGTTTCCATGGAACAGTCATTTCAACCCTCATGTATTTGGGTCCTGTGTGCTTGTCATCCCTAAGGCATTTCTTGTCTATAGCTGTTCCTCTGATACATGTTTCTGACCTTCAGTTCCCTGGACCACACTGACGCAGTAGGCTGGACAGTAGGCTGGCCAAGGCAGACACTAGGACTCTGACGTCCCCACCACCCTCTTCCGCAACTGTAAAAAAATTAACACCAGCCTTTATACACTTCACTGTTTGAATACTTATTATGCTGTAGAGAACCAGTTACCCCACATCTTGCCTGGATGTGACATTTTAATGTTAATCTTTGAGTAAAATGTTACTGCTATTCCTTAGAGTTTCATTTAGTATGGAGAGTGCCCTTTGCTAACCCACTCAGTTATCTTGACTTTTTCAGTTGAGAGGTTAGTTTTCAATGTCTTACAGCTGAAACAGAATACATTAGTTTTGGTGATCTGGAGCTGTGGCTTGCTGGTAGCCTTCTTGCCTGGCATAAGCAAGTCTCTGGGCTCATCTTTAGCACCCCAAAAGGAAAAGGAAGAAGAGTTTTATTTTTTTCTCCACCTTTCCTTACGCCTTTATTACTAACCTTCCCTGTATTAGACATGTCCTTGATCTGATAATCCCTGATGCTTGAGGCTCTTCCATTAACCTGCTCTACCCTTCCCAATGCATATTTCTAATTGTAAATAGCCATTTCTTTTTTTTAAATATAGGAAATTGATGTATTTAATAATATTTTAATTACATTGTTTTTATTTTATATTCTTCCCTTCCCCCAAGTCCTTCCAGATATCCTCCTCCCTTATCCACTCAACTTTAAGTTTTTCTCAAAAAAAAAAAAAAAAACCCAAAACAAAATACAATAAAATTCATCCAAACCAAGAAAACAAAATAAAGTCATATCCCAAAAGAAAACAACAACAACAAAGCCTCCCTAAACTGTAAACAAATAAAAGCACACAGGAAAAGCTGTGGAGTTCATTATATGTTGGTCAACTACTCCTGACCGTGAGGCCTGTCCTGGAGTGATATACCCAGTGTCACTGTATTGGAGAAAACTTATTTTCCCTTTCCTAGCAGGTATAAGTGACAGTTCAATTGTTAACCTTTACCCTAGTGGCTAGGTTTTCTCCAAAACAGACCATATAGTCA